GGCCCGTTCCAGTTTAATTTTTTTCACCGTCCAGACTTTTAAGATCGGTTATAAATCAACCGATCTTAAAAGTCTACCTTTTCAAAATCGGCTCTTTTATGATCGGTTCCATAACCGATTTTAAAAGTCCAAAATAACCGATTTTAAATGCAGAGCACTCCACTCCTAAACCCCCACCCCTCCCCAAACATACACATATTATAAGTAAAAAAGTAATCACTTTTGAATTGGAAGAAAATCGCTATTTTGAAGTGTTATATTACCCTTTACTTGCTGCAAGGAACCGTCACACATTCATTCAATGACTGTCAGGAAATATTTAAAAGAGAGTCAGACAATATTTCAGTTTCAAACTACCAACCATTAGTTATAACCCAGTCAACACATGGAAACATAAAGTAAATTTTTTATTAATTTTAATTTTTTAATTTTTGACGATTTTTTTTTAAACTTTTTCTCTTGTTAATATTATAGTCTTTAATGTCAAAAAATTTTCATGTAAAAACAATTTAAAGAGTAAAATCAAATAAAATTTGTTCCAAGACTACAAACAAAATTGACAAAAATTCAATAACTTAAAACATATTTAATGGTGAAAAAAGTTACTCAGAAATTGTTGATAAAATACACCTTTGATTTTTTATATTCATATTTTTAGTTTGAAATATAATAGAGAAATATAACAGAGAAATATAACATAGAGTTTGATTAAAGATAAATAGAAGGGAGGAATTTTTATAACTTTTTATTGTTTAGTTCAAGTTTTAGAAATAAAAAAAATGGAGGGGAGTAAAACACTTTGTGATCTAATTTTATCTCTCTTCTAATGTTGAGAGATTTGGAGGAAATGAAAAAATTTTAAAATATTTTTTATATAATGTCTAAAATATTTTTATTTATTCCTTTAAATGTAAAATTACAAGGATACAAAAAGTAATTTGACTTTTAAAGTTTCTCTTCTCCCCTTATAAGTCAAACAAAAAAAAATTGAAAAATAAATTTATGCAGTAGATAAAAATAAAATAAAAAATGAGACAGAAAATATTTTAGAAGTTAAAGATAAAACATTCAAGATTCAACAAAATATGTACACGAAATGTTTTTTATCACTTTTATTGATGACTAGTAAAAATGAGATATGTCGTGTTTCGTCATAAATTAAAATAAAAAATGATGAAATAAAAAGATATACCATTAACTTTAGAATAGTAAGATAATAAAACAAATTAGTTAAAATGTATAAAGATAACTATTAAAAAGAAATTAAAAAATATGGATATCAAATAAAGATATCTCTTTTTATTAATGTTATAGATATAAATGTAGATATATATTTTTTTATTTTAAAATATAAAAGAGAGATATAAATGTCCTAAAAAAGTGAACATGAGAAATTTATTTATTTTTTAATATATTACTAGTAAGGACAAAAGCATTCCATATCTTTGTGAAAAATAAATAAAATGATCATTTTTTAATAACAAATTTTATTATTTTAATAGAGGGGTATGAATTATAAATTTTATATGCATAATTTATTTGTTGAATTTTTTTTATGAGTAAAATGGTAAATAAGAGATAACACTCTGATTATTAGACAAGGAGCCAATAGTATGTTAGAGGTCTTTAGACAAAGCACCAATGTTACTTAATGGTTAGTTGAAGTTTAACAATATTTAATTTGACTCTAGACTTTACTTGTTGAATTAATTGTCGGTAGAGGTGCACTAGTGAAATTTCACCTCTAATGTTAAGAGATTTTCTTGAATAGGTATATTCGTCAAAATATAATTTTATAATCGTAAAAGATGTCAAACTTATATAATAAGAAACATAATTTTAGACTAAATCTTGTACTATTTGTACATCTATTTATTGAATATGGATCACTTGCAATGATACAATTTTCTCTCAATATATTTAAATGTTCATTTTCCTTTTATTTTAACACATGTGGGGTAAAAGCAAAGTTATCATTTCATAAATATCATTATTATCATAACTTTGAGTTTTTAATGTAAATCATATTCAAGAGTCTTCTTATATCTAGAAATGAACTCACTAATAGTGAATTTTCTTTATATGTATACTTTTCTTCATACATGTTCTTCTTTTTCCCTTCAATAAATAGGTGATGCATATATATAATAGATATTTTTGTTGATTGATACGTATAAATTATAGGTTTTTTTTTTTCTTTTTTATATAGAATAAATATTTTATCTTCAAGAGATATATTTGCGGTAAAAATGTTGAAATATAATAAAGGAGTATGAATGCCTTAATATAATAAAAAGGAATAAGGAATTTTTTTACGTTGATTTGTTGCTTATGATACTCTCCATTTGATAAACTTTTAAAATAGCTTTTGTTTTAAAGCAATTACATATACAAGAAATTAGAGAAGAATGCGCAGCAGCACGAAAGGATCTGCAAAGCAAATGGTAAAGTTTATGGTATTTCGAGTTTTTAACAATATTATGTTATTCCCTAAAGAAAAAACAAAAGTTGAAGCAACCGAAAGCAAGGAAGGGTGAATTAAATTATTAGTTTAAGAAAGAGTTGGGAAGGAAGATAAGAGAAAGAGATTGTCTCATAAGTAATAATTTTTCATCTTCCCTTCCAACCTACCCATGGACCGTTTCCCGATCCTCTTCCTCATGGGCACCCTCATGGCCCTCGTCTCCGCTGGCCGTGACAATTTTCTCCAATTGCCCTCCGACGCTTCCACCGCCCATGAAAACCACGAGGGCACCAGGTGGGCCGTTTTAATTGCCGGTTCCAATGGCTACTGGAATTACAGGCATCAGGTACTTCAACTTTTCTACAAGCTTTCTCATCTAACTCGATACCCTTGAGAATTTTGATGATGATGACTGATGAGCCTTTTGCCATTTCTTCAGTCTGATGTTTGCCATGCATATCAACTACTGAGGAAAGGTGGTCTGAAAGAGGAAAATATTGTTGTATTTATGTATGATGACATTGCTTTCAATGAAGAGAATCCACGTCCTGGAGTTATTATTAATAGTCCAGATGGCAATAATGTTTACCAAGGTGTACCTAAGGTTTGTTATCTTGCTTTTAGGTATTCCATATCCTGCTTCCGATTCAAGATTTATAGGGCTCCTAAGATGGACCTTGTTGTGGCAGGATTATGTTGGTGAAGATGTTAATGTCAACAATTTTTTTGCTGCTATACTTGGAAATAAGTCGGCTCTTACCGGTGGTAGTGGGAAGGTTGTGGATAGTGGTCCCAATGATCATATATTTATATACTACTCTGATCATGGGGGTCCAGGAGTGCTAGGTTGGTTGTTCTGAATCCTTTCACTGGAACTTTGTGATCAAAGTCATGGATTGTGTATGTTTTACATGAATTTCAGCATGGTATGAGCTTGTGTTAAGAAATTACTAAGTGCAAATGTATGTCTTTTTGTCAGTTGATTATGTGTGTTTTTGCTTGATCATGTTTGAATAGAATGAAACATTTATTAGCATCACCTATAATATAGTTTCCTCAAATTGTATACTTCCCAAGCTAAAACTCTCTGGTGGTCAAGCTAAGCAATAAACTGAAAACTTTGAACTCACTCTTAAATGGTGGTTAAGATGATGATTTAAGAATAACATATTTCAAATTTCATTCCAGTTTTATGGGGATTTTTGAACCTCTAAGATTGTCCTTGGAGCTTAATTTGGATTTTTGTTTAAAAAGGAAACTTAGTATTATGCAGCATAGTGGAACAGTGTAACATTTGTGGGTTGATTTCATGGTATGATACATATATTCATCAAATAATTATACTATACATTGATCATTTTTGAATCAACAATGGCATTGCAAAAAGCTCTAATATGAAGGGTAACAAGTCTGCTTTACGTTTATCAATTTGTTTATTTCTTTTTTCTTATGTGGTCATCGTGAAGGGTAAATAATGACACCATAGGAAGCTGCACCCCAAAAAAATAAACAGAAGAGAAGGAAAAAAAAGGAGTGAGAGGACGAGTGAAGTGGAATATATGGTTTTCAGTGTCATTGTCCTTATTATCCATTTTGTGTCAATCATTTTAGTGCATACTACTGTTATTTGTGATTCTTCTACTAACATTGTTTTTTTTTCTTTTGTATACACCATAGTGTTTCTTCACACCATATATCTTCCCTTTCTCTATTTCTTAAGCAGTCCTTTTTTTTCATCGGGGGGGTTATTTTGGGGTTGGATTTCAGGGATGCCTACTAGTCCATACTTGTATGCATCGGATTTGATCGAAGTCTTGAAGAAGAAGCATGCTTCTGGAACTTATGAAAGCCTAGTAAGTTACTAGTAATTATTATTTGCTTACTATTTGTATCAATCTTTGTTATAGATATTTAGTTACAAATTTTTAGTATTTATGATTTATGTAATGGTGGTGTAGGTATTTTATCTAGAGGCATGTGAATCTGGGAGTATCTTTGAAGGTCTTCTTCCTGAAGGTCTAAATATCTATGCAACAACAGCTGCAAATGCAGCAGAAAGCAGTTGGGGAACGTACTGTCCTGGGGATTATCCTAGTCCTCCCCCAGAATATGAAACCTGCCTGGCTGACCTGTACAGTGTTGCTTGGATGGAAGACAGGTATGACTATATCAGCGTAATAGAGAAGCATTTTATGTTGTATTATTCATTACTCAAAATCTGAAATTATAAAAGTGTATTGTGGCCATAAATAGGATATATTGGGTGCAATACTTATATACCTAGGCAATTTCCATAACCTGGTTGAAAGGATGACTGCTGTGACATGATCACACGGACATGTTACTATGAAACTGTGTTTGCATATTATTTTGTACTTTGTCAAACCTTTTTTTTTTAATTTTTAAAAAAAGAAACTTTTGTTTCTTGTCCTTAATAACTTTTTTGTTGTTCGAAGTTCTTTTTTTTTTTAATGAGTAATGTTGTAAGGTCTTTTATGGACTGATTTTTCCCCTTTAAACTTTTGAACAGTGACATGCACAATTTGCGAACAGAGACTCTGCATCAACAATATGAATTGGTAAGATCCCATATCTAACTTGGCTGTTTTACGTAATCAACTAGTATAAATTGAAGGATGTTATTTGATACCTTGGTTGCTTACGTATATGCGAAAAAATATTATCTGTTTTGATGGGATTTATGGTCTAAAATTTGATGTGTCAAAGGAGGTAGAAGATGTTTCAATTGTATGACGGATTTCTTCTTACTCCTATGCTCACAGGTCAAACAAAGGACTATAAATGGAAATGCAATGTACGGTTCCCACGTAATGCAGTTTGGTGACATAGAGCTTAGCAAGAACAATCTCTTCCTATATTTGGGTACAAATCCTGCTAATGATAATTTTACTTTTGTGGATAAAAACTCATTGGTGCCACCCTCAAAAGCAGTCAACCAACGTGATGCAGATCTTGTGCATTTCTGGGATAAGGTATCATATGTTTGAAACATAATTTTTATTATTTATTTTGTGAAATAATAGCTTAATCATATCCTCATCATGATTTTGCTCTCAAAATTTAAATTTGGAGGGGTATATTCTAGTTGGAAGATATTAAATGGAATGGTGATGCTCATTGATTCTATTCCACATTCATTTCATTTACCAAACAATTGAGTGTCTCTGATGCTTATTTTCTACTATAAGCCTTTATTGTTGCTAATTATATTCTATCTTCTTAACTTCCTCTTCACTGTTTTGCCAGTTTCGCAAAGCTCCTGTGGGTTCTTCTAGGAAAACTGCAGCTGAGAAACAACTTCTGGAAGCAATGTCTCACAGAATGCATATAGACGACAACATGAAACTTATTGGAAAACTCTTATTTGGCATTGAAAAGGGTCCAGAATTGCTCACCAGTGTTAGACCTGCTGGGCAACCACTTGTTGATGATTGGGACTGCCTTAAAACACTGGTACTATTTCGATTGATCCACTTTGTTGAGTTTGTTCGTATAAGATCCTTTCTAAAATACACATTGGAAACGAGGGTGCATGCATGCACCTTAAATTTATAGTCGTTGTTTTGGCAATTAAAGGCATCCATGATTGGTTGGCCTCTTACAGTAACAAGTAGTAAAAATCTAGGTACATGGATGCTCCATTTTAAGAATAATCCGTCTATGATTGAATCACTGATATTTTTTTTTATTAATTATCCAATTGACATAATTATGGTATGAGATGTTCGATAGGCCTCCAACAATTTCGTCTTCTTATGAAGATGCTGGATTTAAACTATAAATTAGCATTTGATTCTTGATTGCACCAAAGCATTTGACTTCTGACAGTAAGTGGTGCCTTAATCAATTGTTGATGCAGGTTAGGACTTTTGAGACACATTGTGGATCCCTATCTCAATATGGGATGAAACATATGAGGTCTTTTGCAAACTTCTGCAACGCTGGAATACAAAAAGAGCAAATGTCTGAGGCCTCAGCACAAGCATGCATCAGTATTCCTGCAACTCCCTGGAGTTCTCTGCACAAGGGTTTCAGTGCATAATTGACCAAGTATAATCGTTGTAACATTATGTACTGTACTTTGGTCATGATTTCATATACCAACTCTGTAAATACAAATGGGACGCTGGGGATACCTCTACATTGTAATTTCGTGCAAAATAGATGCTGTAACCAAGGCATTCCACTTTTACATGAGGTGAAACATGAGTGAAACTATAGGGGCCCTTGGAAATTCTAATATGACATGGCACAATTACGTGTTTGCAAACCAATGTTTTTTTTGTTTTTAAATTTATTTATTTATTTATTTATTTTTATAATTTAATTTAATATTATGGTAACCCCGTTGCGTAGTTAATTCCTAATAGAATGTATTTGGGTTAAAATATATTTTAAAATCTACAATAATAATATAAAATAACACGCAAATATAACTGTAGAAATCCATCAACCGGCGTTAGCCACTTAAGACTAATTTTAGAATTTAAATGTATAAGAACTTCCAAAATATTTATTGAACAATATAAGTATTAGAAATTAATAAATTCATAAGAACAGAAGGAGTAATTTGATCAATATTTTTAGTGTATTTAATTAAGAAATAAGTTTTAAATTTTTATTTGAATGTTAGATGAAAAATGGATTTGTGAAAGCGGACGGTTGGTGCAAAGGAGCGTACTGTAAGATTATATAAGCAAAATAGGATCTTCTCTCTAATGGAAACACACCATTTCCTTTTATGACAACCCTTTCTGCTCTTCTCTCCACAACTTTCTGCCATTCCCTAATTCTCAATCTCATACACCAAACTTTAATGTTGGGAATCTGACATTTTTTTCACATTGAATGAGATTTATCATTTAAACCTCTTTCTTCTTTTATTTTGTTCATTTTCCTCAAGCAAAGGTTGGAAAAATAAGATTTTCCCTCTATTTCTATTTTCCTTTTAGCGTCGGTCCTCTCTGCTTAGTTATTTATTCATTTTTTTCGCAGAGAGAAAAAACAAAAAGGCAGATTTTAGAACTCTGAACATTAAGCCACAGGGTCGATGGTTGCTTCCTTGAGTTCATAGCTATTGTCACCGGTACAAGTTCTAAAATGTCATTATTAGTAGAATTTTGAAAATAGATTTGCATTTTCCATAGCTTCGGAACTGAAATTTGAACACCACTCCAATTTTGCATGCAAAAAAATCCTCCCCACTCTACAAAATGTCATAAAGCAGCAATATTCCATTGTCGATAAGGTGTACAGTAGGCTCACTTCACAACCAAGCATTAAAATCCCTAAAATCTGGTATACTCTTTGAAACATGCCCCTACAAACTAGAACCACAGAAGAGACCGGAAAATCAAACTTATGAAAATAAAAGGAAGAACATTTAAACGGAGAATTTGGAAGAAAAAAAAATTTGGACCATTTCTCGATTTGTGCGTGTCATCCTTGCGCAGGGGCCATGCTAATCTTCTCTGTATCGTTCCAATTTTATCGGATGTCCCCGAAGGGACAACTTTGATGGTGGCGCATCCTCTTATAAGCACTAATATGGTATTAGTTGCAGACGATGTGGGACCCCAGTGGAAAAGGGACAGTAGCAAGATGCAATCCAAAGATACACCAGCTGAAGTAATGTGGTTCACAAGAACATTCTCACTCTCAGTATAAGCATTAAGCATTAAGCACGCAGTCATTTGTGATACACGGATTCAGTTGTTTCCAGGGCTCATCAAAGAACCATTTAGACATTTTAATATAATATATTTTAATCGGTAGTGCAAGTATTGATAGCCTTGTACCTCTATCATCACCCTACTCTGAACACCCTACTGTTCCCTAATTTTATTTGAAATTTGATCATTTATTTTCTTCAAAATTACTACTATAGATTAGTATATTTTATTCTCTAATTTCTCAGAAGAGAACTAAAAACTTCTGTCGAGTACATCATTTTATGCTTAAATAAATACATATAGATTAATTGTACCACAACATCTATTATGACTATCTATTACTCTATAACTCTTCCCATTTTGGTTTGTATTAAATATGCTTTATTGAATTTTTTATTTATTTTATATAACTTTAAAAACTATTTTTTAACTTAACTACTAATAAAAAAAACGCAAATCTAATAACTAATTTAGTCATTATCAAACCTTGAGATTAACATCTAGATAATGATAAATAATAATAATAATAATATTATTATTATTAAAATTAGGTCTAAATAAGAATTTATTCATCAAATTTAAGATAATTTTTTTTCAAATTTAAATTTATTATTTTTAGTTTCTATAATTTAAAATTCAAATTGACACATAATAATAAAATTATTTATATATTAATTTGACTTAATGAATCAAAATATTAAATGTTTTTAATTTTTTTTTTAAAATTTATAAACTTAATTTATACATTAAAAATTTTAAATTTAACGATTAGATCATTAAAATTTAATGAAAAATATGAGTTATTGAACGGAGTAAATAGATTTTATATATATATATATTAAAATGGTTAATAAGATTATGTTAAATGGATCCGATTTTTCCAAGCCTAACTCATTGAACCAAACAAAATTGCTAATTTTTCGAGGCTTAGATTTTAGGAGCCGAACTTAGCTTTAATTATGGGTTGTGACCTGTATGGCTGTATCCAAAAGGTGTGGATTGAGTACCTTAGTTTAGGAGGTTTAGTAAGACAGATACCGGAAATACTTTTCAATATTTAATCATAGGGCAAAAAATTCTTTAACTTCTTTATTTCATCTCTTTTATGAATAAGTATCTTAAATTTTAATTTTGACTTAATTAATATTTAAATATTTTCGTTTACAAACAAATGCAGTAAATTAATTTTGTTACAATCATTCTTTAAACGCAAATAGACACATTAAAATTTAATTGTATTCTAATTGTTTTCAAAATTATACTTTTTTAAAAATACTTCTTTTTACCTTGTTAGAGTTTAATTGTTTATCTTAAATATCATTTGTCATTATACTTTCTTCTTCTTCTTTTGCTACAATTCAATTCTCCATATATTAAAATATAATAAAAATATAAATTTACAAAAAAGAACATAATGATAAATTTCCTATTTTAAAATATATATCTTATGATTAATGAAAATAATAAATTTTTAATATATATATGTGTATATATATATATATTATAAAAATTATATTTAACAATAATTTGCATCTAAAATTATTCAAGCATTTAAAAATTTTATTGGTCAGTTCTTTTATTTAATTTGTTGACACCATCAATAGATTAAATGATTACCAATATATTTTCTTCATTTTTCAAGTCAGCGACAGATTTCTCAATTTTTAACAGAAGTAGTTTTTGACGGATAATTCGTGAAAATTATGGATTGAAAAAATCATTCTTTTTCATGGAAAAATTTCGTAGGAAATATGCATAATAAAATTTAAAATAAAAACTTTTGTTGCAAATCCGTTGGTAATAACTGTAAAAAATTTTAAATTTTTTAATGGACCTAAATTTGTCAGAAAAATTCGTCAATTACCTGAATAAAATACCTATCAATGAATATTGATTCGTCAAAAAAATATCTGTCAATAGTTAGTCATTTTCTAGTAGTGTGAATAAAATTTTAATTAAGATAAAATTAAATTTTAAGATATTATCTTTACAAAATTATAGGAGTTAAGCACACTTTTTTTCCATAATCATGATAAGCAGATAGATCTTAGTTTAAAACTAACCTTATTTAAATCAAAGTACTCATTTAGGCCTTAAAAAAAACTAATCGAATAATTAATTATGATATATTGTTATTCGTTTATATCATGCAGATACGTGTTACGTAACATCATCTGATTCTTTTTTATTTAAATGCTGATGAAAATTATTTTATTTTAATTTATAAAATATATAACTATAATAATTAAGATAATTAATGAGAATGAATATATGTTATTATTTGAAAACACGCACACACTTTTATATATATATATATATATATTAAACAAC